GTGATTTTGGAGATAGTTTGAGGATAAAATAGGGTCTGAGTTGGAGGAGAGTATAGCTGTATCATCTGCATAAGTTGCTATGGTTGTGTTTGCTGTTTTTGGAATATCTGATGTATATAKGTTRAATAAATCGGGTGATAAGTCACTTCCTTGTGGAACACCGGCAGAGATTGAAAAGTAGGAGGATATTGAGTCGCCCTGTTGAACTGCAAATGTACGATCATAGAGGTAGGAGCTGGGAGGAATGATTTTAACTTGTATAGGAGGCCGTCGTGCCAAACCCTATCGAAGGCTTGGGCCACATCTAGAAAAACTCCTGGGCAGTACTCTTTATTTTTKAATGAAGTTTGAATTTTATCAGTAATTCTGTGTATTTGATGTATTGTCGAGTGAGATGTCCTGAAGCCAAATTGTGTGTGGGGTATTATATTGTTTGAATGAATGAGTGGTCTAATTCTTTTGATGATAATTTTCTATATATATATTTAACTCAAATACAAAATATGTATTTGATAATAATATGATGTATATTATTTATTTATATTTTACCTAATAATGAGCTTCTTTAGTCTTTTTTATATTTTGTTCCTTTACATTCTTCTATAGTTATATTTGTAGGATATATGTTCTGTACCTTTGTACCTGAATCATTACATCCTTTATGTGAAGTAATTTGCTAGAAGTAGCGGCATCGTTGTTGATACCACAAAAAAAGACTATAGCCTCCCTCCCTGCAAAAAAAAAAAATCATCACGCTTAGCCTATGGCGAAGTAATGAGTGCCAAATGATTTCTGTTATTTATAATTCTTTTTTAATATTTTACACAATTAAAATAACATAACATTTTGAATARCATTTGTACATTTGATTTTTGGGACAATTGTTATTTGCTCATTTTGTTCAAGTATTTCCTTACTTAGTAACAAAAAGAACATTGGGTATTTTTATGCATTATATTATACCGTATAAAAATGTCTTAAATAGGAACCATTGTTTTTGACACTGGATTTGGATTGCTCTATTTTTTTTGAGCAAYTTTGATCTTTACAGTTCTTTTGACAGTCGAAAGTTTTAAATTAGGTAATTTGTATTTATCGCATATTTTAACACTCTACGTATCTTAATTAAGCATTTTCAGATATTATTATATCTATTTATTTGTTAAAACTACTAAATTATTATTGGAATTATTATTAAATCACGTTTTTAATCAAATCAATTAACTATTATTGAAATAATTATCTTAATCGTTTTTTGATTGTATCATAGTTGAATGTTAGATTTTTAATAACCTGTGTGATAATAATTCTTATTGGACAAATGATTCAAACTTCCAGCATGTGTGGGGAACAAATGTCTGGTGTGGGTTTTTATGTGGTAAATTATTAGGTYCTTAGTTTTACGATGGTACTTTGACAAGTAGGAGGTACCTAGACTTTTTGTCGAACACGCTATCAACATTTTTGGATGAATTCAACTTAGATACCCGCATGAATTTATTTTTCCAACAAGATGGGGCCCACAACACAATAATTGTTCGAGAATACCTTATWTCACACAGGTTATTAAAAATCTAAACCAAATTCAAAACTATGCACAAGGTATTGAGTTATAGCGTGTTGTTTCTTAACACATACTCCATCCTAAATAATGTATACATAAATATGTAATATTATTCAGTTAAAGCATTATCATTGATTATAAATACTAGTATTTATAATYAATGGTATTATTTAAATAAAAAAATAAAAATAAATTCATATTTTTGAAGATGAACATATTGACTATAGAAGCATGATGAGTATTTTTAATAATGATCTAACAAAATAATATTTTGTTGTCATAAGTTCCGCAAACTTAGATAAAATATTATACTATTTTATACCTAACTATTAAAAATGTTGGTAGATAATCGCAAGCACATATACATGTCTCTGTTCAAAGTATAATGGTTAGCTTGATTTTTAATTAAAAATTATGGTTTTATCATTAGTTTAGATTCACAATATTGAATTTTAGTTAACTATACATACCTTTTATTGATCATTAACTGGCACAATCTTGAGGTATATTGAATGTTCTGTTTTAAAAATGATTATGTATTAATTTTATTCAAAAACATTTTGGAACAAGTTATATTTTATATGATATATTTTTATGATTTTAGAGTGAGTACAAAGTTATGGAATCCATTGAAGACGACGATTTTGAGGTTGACAACAGTCATCTTTTTTTAAATGATGAAGTTATTAACCAATATATGGATCTAATCACAGAACGTTCACCTAACACAGTATACGCATTTAATACATTTTTTTACCTATCTTTAACTGAAAAGGGATACTCTCATGTTTGTCGGTGGACAAAAAAAATTGATATATTCTCAAAAAAAAAATTGTTCATCCCTATTCATATCGAAGAAGATAATCACTGGTGTTTAGTTTATGTTAGCTTTCAACAAAAGTCCATAAAATATTATGACAGTATGGGCGGGCGTAATTTTAAATGCTTAAAACTAATATTGAAATATTTGATGTTGGAACATGAAGA